AAAAAAAAAAAAAAAAAAAAAAAAAAAAAAAAAAAAAAAAAAAAAAAAAAAATCTCCGGCGCTGAAATCGGTTTTAGCCGCTGCAAAGCCCGCTCCGCGCAGCCGGGGCGCGCAAGCTGCCCACGCCGGGAAGCGCCGGGAACGCCGCTCCGACGGACCCACGGAGGGGCACGGGGATTTTGCAGGCAGCACTTGATCCGATAAAGAAAATCAAAGACACATTCGCGCTGTTTCCCCCGTCTAGAAATAACCTTTCCCCTGGACATGCCGGGGGAGCCGGGAGACATTGTGCTGACTGGTGGTTTTGCTTTCTTTTTTCTGAAATAGTCAAAAATAAATTACATCTAAATTTCAGCTGCCGCGAATGAATTTTAAGTTAATGCTGCGAAATAAAAACAAAAATAATGTTTGGGGGAGTTTAAATTTTTTTTCCTCGTGCTGGAAAAAAAAAAAATCCCCTCGGATTGATGCTGTAAACCTGAATTCTTAGAAAATAACCTGAACGTCACAGCAACCCCCTGGCAAATGCAAACAGAAATAAACTTCGCAGGAAAAAAAAAAAAATCCACGGCTTCCTTGCTAAAGAATAGAAAGTAGACATTTTATTTAGGCATATTTTTGCATGCACTGGTTAAGTCGAAATCAACTGAGCTGCAGCCACCTCTATTTTTGGCCGGTAACATTTCCATTTGGTTTAATTGCACATGTCTAATATTTAAACGTATTAAACCATGTTTCCCTGCTTACGGTAGTGTCATATACATTTCTCACCTTTTAGGTTCTGGCTCACAGGAGCCCCTGCGACTTTGACAGCTGTCGCTTTGGCTGCACAGGAGACGAATCGCCCTCCTTTTGGTGCCAGAAGAAGCAGGAAATTAGCCAGGTTGCAAGTTGAAAATCTGCCACGCCAGTGCTTTGAATCCAATATGCCACACCTTCCAGCGGGGGAACTGGAAATTGCCATCCCGGATCTGTGTTCTAGGCGGCTGCTTATGCCGAACCTCCGCACACTTTGTTCACTATTGCCTTACAAAGAACAAATGAAATGGGGATTGAAAGCCAGAGAGATCCGAAGCAGGACAGAGCTCAGCAAAAGAATGCGGCTCTATTCTCGCAAGGGAAATTATAAAAAAGTTCATGTTCACGGTTACCATCCACATGACCGACGACGACCAATGGAAAAACCGAACAACTCATAAAGTTGTATTGCAAAGTTGTAAATTTTCATAAACAACAACGGATTTATGGCCTTTTCCTCATCACTAAGAAGAGGCAGGTCTTAGAGAGGCGCCATCTTACCACAGAGGCAGCCCTGGAGTTTTTTAAAAGACCTGGAGTTTGTACCAATTTTATTAAAATTACAATTAGCACGTTGATCAGGAACGGAGTGTAGTAGAAAAAGGGAACTTCTGCGCAAATGATGCTCTGGTTCTACCTGTATTTACCCGGCCGAATAAAGGGACTTTTCGGGAGAGCTTTTTTTTTTTTTTTTTAATTTTTTTAAAAGATTGAAAATATTAGATCTCCTTGACTTTACGTGGCACCTGGCAAAACCGACACATTTTCTAAAGCGGGGCGATTTTTCCCCTTTTTAATGCCACCCTGATGCCCCCCGAAAGCCGCACACGTACCCGACCTGATCATTTACATTTGGAAGTTTCGCATCGCACTTTCTGTTCATTACCCAATATTATTTCACTGAATGCGATTTCGGCTTGGTCGCCGGCCGCCTGGACTGGGTTTATGATTGCAAGAGGACACGGGCACACGGTGGAAGGAAGCCCTCCCATAAAGAAGGCTTTCCGCTTTATTAATCAACTGCGCTAGGGAAAAAAAAAAAATCACGAAGTCGAGATAGAGAAATTGACTGATTCCTATCAATTCATCACCTTGGAATTTTTTTTTCCCCTCTAATTACGGGGAGGGGGGGGAGATTTATATGGTCTAATTTCTTTATTTTTCTGTGTATATTATTTTTGGATGCTTCCTTCGAACTGTTTCCCTAAAAAAAGAAACACAATTCATTGTCAACAAGCATATTTATTTTCTGTGTAACATAAAACACATTTATCGTGGGAGATACTTGAACACGGTATCACTTCCAAAGAGAGTTCACAGACATTTTTTTTTTCCACTTCCAATACTTACACGGCATATCCAAATGTTCACAACGAACACATCGAAACACATTGTAACATACAATTTTTGAATAAACTTTAGCCAAACCTTCAAGACGGATTTATACAGAGTTCTTAACAATACATCATGCTACAAAGTTTCCAAATTAATTACATACTTCCCAATTTATGACATGATCTTACAAATGAGCTCCAAGACGAATATAAATGACAAAAAAAAAAAAAAATCGTTCAAATATACAGTATCTGCTATTGTAGGAAAATTCACGGTATTACATATTAACACGTTCGGATAATCAGGACAAACAGATTTTTTTTTTAAAGGTGGTTACATGGTCATTTAAATTCACTTTTCAAAGAACACTTTCTGCTATATTAAGTAAGATCAACCTAGAATAAGAAAACGGCCTTTAGCAGAGGCAGCCGAAGGTAGAAGCCAACGGGAGATATTAAACCGCTTTGTACAATATTGGCGTGTGTTTGCTTCCTCACTCGGAATAGTAAAGAATCGAGAACAAAGATATATTGCAGCATATGGTTTTCATTTATAATTGCTTTGGAATAAATATATTATTTTAAATTTAAATATATTCAGCCTTTTCGGTACCAAATTCTATACCAAAGCTATTGATGCGTGCTTTTCGAACGACTACACTTACATTTCTAAAAGCATTTTGCGATTCACATTAGTAATGTTATCTTCTTTTGACTACTAAAATACAGTATACTTTCGAAGATAGGTAGGCGGAGCAAGATATATAGGTAGTCTGGAAAATAGGTAGTACAAATCATTGCTGTAGATTGTAGTGGTTTGTGGAACATCTTCCTCCCCCCCCCTTACTTGCTGTTTAACCTTTTGTTAGTGTAGCTGTTAGTTATGATACTTTTCTAACAATAATAATAATTAAAAAAAAAGACAAAAAAAAAGAGAAGTGCAGAGCTACTTATTCAAAATTAGGTAGTTTTTCTTAATGTGAGCCTAATGCACTTTTCCCCTTACACATGATTGGGACTCTTGAGTCAGGTAGTTACTTCGGAAGGTCACGGTTTACTATCTGTGCAAGCAGCAGTTCTCCCACTGAAATGTCCCCTGGACAAACCCACCCAGGTTGGGGTGAACGAAAAAAACAAATGATTGTAGGATGCTCTTAGGAGATATTACCGAACGGTTCGGCACAGGGCAGGTTTGGGGAGTACGGGAGAGTGGAGAGAAGACTGGAAAACCACCCCAAGAAACGTTTTCATGTTTGCAAACGCTCGCTTGCAAGATGATTATTAAAGGGAACTGATTTTTTTTTTTTTAAATAAAAACAGTGAGTCTTTCTTTTTTTTTTTTTTCCTTTAAAGGGAGCTTTTCCAACTGTCATGTGCATACGTTATACTAAGAGATCGCTTCCTCGAGTGGGACTCCTTAGTCCTCCTCCTCTTCGTCTTCTTCCACTTTCTCGACAGAGGCTGCTGCTGACGTGGGCTCGTTGGGAGCCGGGGTGCCGGAGCTCTCTTCCTTGTGCTCCTTCTTCCACTTCATCCTCCGGTTTTGGAACCAGATTTTGATCTGCCTCTCCGTCAGGCAGAGGGCATGGGCGATCTCTATCCTCCGCCGCCGAGTCAGATAACGATTGAAGTGGAATTCCTTCTCCAGCTCCAGGGTCTGGTAGCGGGTGTAGGTCTGGCGCCCTCGCTTCCTATCTGGACCTGAAAGCAGGCAGACACGGCCAGGAGTTAGGCAAGAGGAGAGGTGGAAAGTTTTCTCTTTTCAGTTTTTCCTTTTTTCCTTATTGTTATTATTTTCAAAATAAATAAATAAACAGACAAACAAAAAGCGGCCGAGCGAGAGTGACTGGTCCCCTTCTCTCACTTCCACCCGCCCCCCCACTTTGCCCTAACAAAGACATTTCAGCCACACGACCTGCCCTGCTCAGGCAGGGCAAAAATTAAGTTGCTCGAGACCTAGAAAAAGTGGAGAGAAAGCATTCAGGAGAGGAGGTGGGGGAGGAAATTGCTTTTGGGAGGAGGAACTTTCCCCCCAGGCGATGTATTTCCCTAAAACCTTCCAGACTTTCGCGTTTCGCAAGGGGAAATAAAAAGCTGGAAGGCTGGGCTGTATTTATTTTATTTTCATGTCGGGGGCTCCCTCCAGCCCCCCACCCCACCCCACCCCGCCTGGATCGTAAACAATACATCGCATTTATTTTTTTTAGATCCTTATCTCCGTGGAAAAGGGCAGGGGGGGACGAGACTGGCACGTCTCGGCAGCGTGGGCTGGCAAAGTCCTCAGCAGCCCGTCCCCCGCTCCTGAACGCCCCTCTCCCCTCCGCCTTCCCCAGCGAGCGGGATTTTTTTTTGCCCAACTTCGGCAGAGGGCAGGGGAGACGCTTACCCGTGGGGGCTCTGGGAGCCCGCAGCCAACTCTCCACATTTCTATATCAAACAGCGCAAATCAACCCAATGCTAAAATTCCATAGCAAATGGAGTTAAATAAATTTACGAGGCTAGAACCCATTAATTGGGCAATAAAAAGTTTTATGATACTCATTTACATACAATGCCACGGGCTTTCTACGCAATGGCGCCTCGGCTATAATTAAAACCATAAAGGCTGTGCTGACAGTAATTCTGGCGACACGCTTTGCCTGGCTGCCACGGCTCCGAGCCCTCTCCGCTCGCCCCTACCTGAAGACCTCATCCAGGGGTATATCCGGAAATTAGGCTCAGCCTGGTTGTGCAGGTTGCTTTCCTCCGCTTTCTCACAGCTGGGTTTGGTTAGCTCATTGCAGAGGACGGGAATGTTCTGATCAAAAGAGGAACAATGCAGGTTGTAGGCATCAGAGCCCAGGCTGTATCCGGAAGAGAACGGGCTTTGATATATGGTACTGTTCACATTGTACAAGCCGGGCATGGAGGAGGCGAAGGCACCCGCGCCTGGTCCATAGCCGCTTCTCTGGGAGTTGCTTGCAAAGGAGCAAGAAGTAGGCTCTGCATTTTGGAAAAGAGAAGCCCCCGCCGTATATTTGCTAAAAAGCGCATTCACATAATACGAAGAGCTCATAATTTTGACCTGTGATTTGTTGTCCGGCAGGCTTCAGTGTCGGTTTTACGAGGTAGCGTGATATATGATAACATTACACCCCCAGATTTACACCAAACCCCATTTTCTTTTGGACTGAGCTGCCTCGAGCACGTGACCGGTCATATGACGCCGCCCGCCAATCCCCGCCCGCC